CTGGGGTAGAAAGACTGTTTCTGATAGACCCTCGGCTCCCTCCCTCCAAGAACTCTCCACCTTGCTCTTGGGGTGACTCGAACTCACAACCTCTTGGTTGGAAGTGGAGGGTGCTTACCACTATAGCAACCCACTCTTGTCTACTGAGACTGTGTCCTGAAATATGGCTACTGAAGAGTAGATTGATTTTTTTAGTTTGAGTCGTATGGATATGTCTGGTTTTGATGCTTCTTATGGAAGGTTAAGTTATCATGGAAGACGGAAGTCGAGCCTGTAATTCCTTGTAAATCTTTCTTGGGGCATTCTTTCTGACAAGATTTTGACAAGGACTTCCAATGCTTGTGGGAAGCTCCTGAAGGGGCAAACGTAGGTGCAAACACTGTTTGGATATTGGTGGCCAGCTTGAAATTGACCTGGACTAGATGGACCTATTTTTAGTTTCTACAATTAGGTGTGGAAATCAAATGTTTTAGGTATTCATATTGTAGATCTGGCCATGTGTATAAAATGCTTTATCGTGATTGATGATAGCTTCTAAATATAGCTCCATTTGGCCTATGAGTGACTCTTTAATGTGATAGATGACTCATATCATCCTAGCCTTTTCTTGGGGGACACATTGAATAAAATGTTTTTTGCTCTTGGTAATGCATGAGGAAAATTCTTACACAGACTGAGTGTTAACTTTCCCATCATAAAAAAATGAATGAAATCTCCCAAATTAGGTTTTTACCTTATGGGCGAAGAGTTCAACTGTCTCTACATGAATTGATTTCCTAGTAGATAGCTTTGCTAATCGTCTAAAACTATATTGCACATCCTCGAATACCTAAATGATTTCAAATGGACTCTACAGTTCATGGTGTAAGCGATAGAGTTAATAGAAATTATCTATTGAGTATTGATATAGCTTTGGATGGAGGCATAGTTATTCTTCTAAGAGAAATAATCTTTTAATGCATGGTTTTGACTTAATAAATTCTTTAAACCGAAAGTTAAAGGCAACCAAAAGTTTAACCCGAGACCTCATGTTGTCCTTCCACTTCATTGACCACCTAAGTGCAAGGACTCTTCGTTTTTTGGTGCCGCGCCCGTTTTGACACGGGACGGGAGTGGGTGCGTGAGCGGGATATGTTCCGGGTTCGGTCAACTAACTTAAGATACTTTGACATGTGTCCATCGACAAATTTGGGGGGAAATTGAGATTTTGATTTCTCAAAATTAAAAATAAAACAGATTTAAGACATGAGAAATGGCATACCTTCAATATTGTAGTACTTTTGTCTCATATTTGCTGCTTTGTGTTTCAAAAAAACCAAGAATTCAAGGGGTCATGTTCTGAGTTCGGACTTCTGGTAGACAGTAGCAGCGATATAGATGGAGAGTTGATGGAAGGCCTTGAATGGCTTTCTTTTTCTCTTTATAGCTCTATTTTTTTTATAATTTTGAATTTTTTTAACCGAATCCCTGCACCCATATCCATACCTGGATCTGCACCCCCGAATCTTAAAATTTAGATTTTGCCGAATCCGACGCTCGGATCCGTGCCCGTATAGAATACCCGCACCCGAGTCCGAGCAACTTAGTTGACCGCTAGGTCACACCCACTTCATTGACCACTAGGCCACCCCTACTTCATTGACCACTACCTTCATAGCCATCCACCCATGCATCTTACACCCGCAGTACCAACTTACCACCAAATGTCTCCTCGAATCATCCGCTGTTAGGATGGCATCCCACACGGCACACTATGTAAAGAATGACACCTTCTTAGGTGCATTAAACTTCCGTACTATTTCTGTCTTGGCCTTCACACCCCAAGCAGGCATCTATATCATGATTCATTGAGAAATATATTTGTTGCTTGCTTCATAATTTTGTCCTCATTCCAGAATATGCATGACTATATAACTTCTGTAGGAAACCATCAATGTTATTCCAATTCACTACTGAATTGGTCTCCCAAAAGGTACACCCCGGGACACCTGGTCTGCCTCACTTTTGATAAATTCAGCTACTGTGGTGTTTTTATCAACTTTGGTAGAGAATAAGTTGGGGAATCCTCCTTGAGAGTCAAGCTGCTGCAATACATCAAGCCAAAAAAATTCATTTACCATTTCCAGTTGCAAAGCCAATAAATCTTGGGACCTCCAAATCCGGTAATCTCATCCTCTCACTTAACCCATATGAGGTAAACACCTTATATGATAACCATCATTGCTTACAACATCCATATCTTGCAAGGATCACATCCCTCCATAGTGTCTCCTTAGCAGGCTTGGTCAAATATGTTTTGATGTGCAAAACTGCAAAATCGGGTCCTCCTATTTCCAAGGGGTCAGTCATCTTCTTCTATCCATTTTTGGATGTATCTCCTGCCACCATTTGTTCCATCCTGCAGAGAGTTCTTCGTTAGTTGCTCCTGCTTCTTATTACATGAAATGTCGGAATGTTGATAACCACGTCCCGGCTTTTCTTCTCCAAAAATCAGCAGTGGAAACCTCGTAGCTAAAAGTTTTCATTCTTGTCTATGATTGTGGGCTTGTGGCTCTTCTACATGGATGATTCTTTTTAGGCTAAGGTCAATTATTTTATGCAAAATTGAACGAGTTCCTCTCAGCCTCCATTAGGCATTAGCTGAGAATAAATATATCTAAAGCGTTTAAGAATGCAGATCTTTATTCCCTTGAAATTTTCAGCTTTTTAGATCTCTCTTGGAGGAAATAGGATTTTATCTCCTCGAACAGGAAAAGAAAAATGCATGCGTCAAATCTTCTAAAGGATTTAGATAGGCTGATATAGCACGTGTGTACATTCTCATAAAAAGCACACCAGAGTATAGAAGATACAGATTCACACACGTAAGAATATTCTACATTTGTCTGTCAAGAAGAATGTATTATATTACACTTCTGTACACCGTAGTATCAAGTATCAATAAATGCATTTGCATACTTGACAGCTGTTAGTAGTTGTCAGATAAACTTTATAATCATGTAGTAATTAAAACATAAGAACAAGTAAATCATTAACACCTATGTTTTATTTGATAATTATGGCAAAGATTTAATGACAAAAACAACACGTTCACTTCAATTTGCAGGGAGATGATCCAGCACCGACCATACACACAAAAAGTTGATGTTTATAGTTTCGGCATTGTTCTGTGGGAGCTCATAACGGGGATGCTTCCCTTCCAGAACATGACCGCTGTACAGGCAGCTTTTGCAGTTGTCAATAAAGGTGTCCGTCCAACCATCCCTAATGATTGTTTGGCTGTCCTAGGTGAAATCATGACGCGCTGCTGGGATGCTAACCCTGACAATAGACCACCCTTCTCTCAGGTGGTCAGAATGCTCGAGGTTGCAGAGACAGAGATCTTGACAACGGTAAGAAAGGCCCGTTTCAGGTGCTGCATCAGTCAACCTATGACTACAGATTGATATGGAAAGAGGAAATAGTAGGCAGTAAGAGCAAGAGTAAAGAATTTGGGAAGGCAAAACAAAACTGATACCAACGTTTTGCCATTTGTATCTACTGAGGCATAATTTCGTCATTCAGATAGAAAAAATGGAGAAAGTTATGATAAAAACTGTCTGTTTGTTGTATCTTCTTTTCGTTTTCCTTTTCTCCTTGGATTGAAGATTCTGATTAGTGATAATAGAAGTATGTGTAATTATACATGTCCTTTTGTGGCTATATTTAGATCCTACTTTTTATTTTACTTTGATCAAATTTTATCAGGTGCTGAAGATGTTGCATACTGATCCATCCCACACCATACCCTTTTGTACTTCTGATGCTTGTTTTATTTATGCAGAAAATGTGGGGACATCAGCAATATATTTGCTTCAAAGGTAGTAGGTCATATCTTTCTTTTTCTGTTCTTCTAACTATAAAGATATGAGGAAAGATGAAGACAAGTTGACCATAAGGAAGACGTGTGTGGTGGGATACTATTACCAAACATCTTTATTTGACTTCAGTATTGTGATTGCACTCAACCTTTTTTCTGAATCTTCAGTGATTATAGTATATTTTGGACGGAAGAGCAGTGTTTCATGCCTTTTGACATTTCTTTCTTTCAATAACCAAATTGAATACAGTAAACTCTTTGACATTGTCCTAAGACAAAAAGTGCTATTTTTAAAACACAAAACTTGGAGAATTTCTCCAATCCGAAATTTTTTGATAGAAAAGAAGCACGATAAGATGAGATTGAAGGCTTGAAAATACCTTATAAATACCTTTACATGAAGTGATAAAAATTTATGTGAAAAAACACAAGGCATGTACGGTTAGCACACGGGTAGGATCGTTGGCTTATGTCATGTCATGAAAATAGTAAATGTGGCATTTGCTTCAATAATTGGAGAAAGAGAAAGCTAATTATTATTCAAATTTATTTGGATGTAAATTAAAGGAGTCAATTATAAGACAACGTTAATTATCAAATTTAAACTTTCAAATTAAAATGTAAGTTAATTTTTATTTTCAATAACGTGATTTTAAGAAAATAATCTAAAACTAACGAGTAATATCTTAACTGTTAGTTTTCAACAAACCAAGCATAACTTCTAGAAAACATTTAGTAAATTTAATCAATAAGTACCAAGATAATATTATTCCCCCGTCCCATCTTACATTTGATTCGTCATATAATTTTAAAAAATAACGAAAGCCTCTTTTGACATGTAAGCTACATATATGGAAAGTAACATGTAAGCTACATATATGGAAAGTATCAAAATTATCGCGTTGAGTGTTTGGCGCGTCTTTTCATCCTCTAGAAGAATGAACTTCTATATTAACGAGTCATATTAATACAGTCAAACCTTTTAATAACAGTCTCGTTTGTTCCAATATTTTTTTGGCTGCTATAAAAAATTATTGTTATAGAAGACATATAATGTCTGGCTGTGCATAAAATGGGAATACTATGGCTAAATATCTTTCGGAAAGAAAAAATATGAAATTTTTGGAACAAGGAAACTATGTCAAGTAGTCTGGTCCAATTGTGGAAAGTTGTCAAATTAAGGTGCAATTGCAGAATAAAGGTATATTCAAGTAATTTGTGGCCCACCTATAAGCTTCAAACCCCCCAAACAACAACAGCACCAAGATTCACTGTTTACTTGTCACTTGTCACTTGTCACTCTCCCTCCCCACCCCCGGGCAAATCGACTTGGGTATCTACAGTGTACACTACATACTTTCATTGCATTCCACATTTTGTTAGTGTTTGTATATGTTGAACGCAAAGATAATTGCCATGGATTTCACTTCCTGCTTGTCCTTCCCATCATCTTTTGCGCCTAATGGAAACTCTAGCGATAGTATCAATTACCGTTCATGCTACAATATCAGCAGTAAGGCCAATTTGTTGAAGCAACAATCCTACTTGTTCAAGGAATACTTGAACTCCCCCTCGCGCAATTACAAAATTCATCTTTTTCCTCGAATTGATGCTCGGGTAAAGAATATTCCGCCATCTTTTCTTGTTTTATGCCAGACCTTTTTTTCTTCCTTCTTTTCTTTGTATATATTGTAGCACCCAAATCCCTAGCAAAGTGTTGTTATTGACAGTAATCAGTAGGAATTTATGTATAGGAAAGTAGAAATGCTTGAATAAAAAAGTGTAAAGGTTTTAGAATAACCTTCTGTTAATAATTCTTGAAAAAGGTCATTTCTTTTCATTTGTGGTCAGAGTTACCTGGTATCTGTGCTGGTGCACCTAGAAGGTAACCGGTGGAATAGTCGAGGTGTGACCAAGTTGGCCCGGACGCCTTGAAAAGGAAAAAAAAAGGATTTTTTTTTTTGGTTTTTTGGGTTAAGAAGTGTGCCATCAACATTTTCTTTCATTTTTCCAATTATCTCCTAGATTTCAATTTGTTTTCTCACAGTTGGAAGCTGAGCAACTAGAAGGTTCAGAAGCTGATCGCGAGTCTGAAGGTTTTCGGTGGCCTTCTCCAAATGACGAAACTCCATTCTGGAAAAGGGAGTTTCCATTTTGGGACCTCAGCTCGGATGATCCTGCTGGAGTGGAAAAGGATGCTGATCTATTGCACATTGTTCATGTGACAGCTGAAATGGCACCTATAGCAAAAGTAGGGGGTCTAGGTGACGTTGTAACGGGACTTGGACGTGCCTGTTTAAAGCGTGGCCATAAAGTTGATGTCATGCTTCCTTTCTATGAATGTATTCCTAAGCATTTAATTGATGAGCTAGCCTTGATCAAAACTTACAACTCATATCTTGACGGAAACTGGGTAGCCTGTAATGCATATCGAGGAGAAGTTTCAGGCGTTCCGGTGATACTTATTGAACCATCCAACCACTTTTTCAAGGGGACAAACATATATGGAGGGTCATACAATGAGTTAGAGGCATATTTGTTTTTCAGCCGTGCTTGCCTTGAATTGATGCAGGTAATACAGCCCATAAGCTATAAATTTGCTTCATAGTACATGTATAAAAAGATTAAACTTACTCCAATTTGACAATTCTATTGAAACTTTTTTGGGTTAATGTGTTTAATCCCATGAGTTATTGAGCTACATCTGATCTCATGCTAGTTATGTACACTTACTCCAATTTGACAATTCTATTGGAAATATTTTTGGGTTAATGTGTTTAACCATCAGTTATTGAGCTACATCTGATCGCATGCTAGTTATATACACTTATGCACATCTTTGGACAACCATGGGAATTTTTATGTGACGGTGGCATGCCAATATGGTTTGCTGCCTCAGTCAACTTTAGTCTTAAGTTTAGTTATTAGTTGGAGCCTCAATTCAGTAGGTTCTTGATGTCCGAATGTTTCAAAGCTGCTCCGGTGTTTTGAGTTGATATGTATGCAAACAAGGCTGTGACTGATTTTACTGGTCAACAGGTAACAGGAACACAACCTGATATCATTCATGTACATGAATGGCAGACAGGTGCTTTACCTCTGTTTTACTGGGATATGTACCAATTTCTCTCACTCCAGGTGTGATCTAGGGGCTTCCGTTTTTAATTCCCTTAATTGATCTGGAGCAGATCTATATTTCTATAGTTTTAAGCATTGACATCCTGTGCAGAAACCTAGAATTGTATTGACTATTCACAACATGGAGCATTATGGAGAATGCAGGTACACTTTTTTGGCTACAGATGAAGGAAGAAATATGGATTCGTGTTTCTAATGTCTTTTATGCTCTGTATATATTTAACCTCTTGAATGATGGTGTAGTTTAGTCCTAGGAGACCATTGCGCACCATAAATTCCTTTGAAAATTTAACAAGATGCACCAATAAAGAAGCTGCAGAAACAACAATGGAGACCATATCTAGGATGTTCTTTTGTCCTCCTTGTGATCTTTCATCTCAGTTTGCAGTTGTATGAATCCATGTGTATTCTCTTTTAGTATGTACGTGTGAAATATGTTAATTGTTAATTGCGCCTTAGCGAATAACTTTGGAAGGTACCCAATATAGATGAAGGTGAGTTAATAAAATCCAGATCATCTTGCAATGTAAAACAATTTGTGTGCATTAGGGCAGTATTCTGTGTGTTGTGGAATTCCCATTGTCAATGGCTGCTGATATGCAAGCCAGCTGAAAAACCTTTATTCATTTATGCAAACATACCAAGGGAAAATTTTGTAATATGGAATTTTCCAATTGGCTTCTTCTCTGCTGTGTTCGTTTGTTGAAGAAAGAGTTGTTTCACTGTTGCCTAACGATCTCAGCAGGCTAGTCACATATCCAAATAGGCTCAGTTGGTCAGTAGTAGACAGTTTTATCAACCACAGGATTCAAGTAGTGAGGGAAAGTTTGCAGCTTGAATGTAATTGTTACAATGACTAGAGATGGCAAAGGGGCCGTGGCGGGGTGGGACATTGGGGGTTAAGCTTTTCCGAGCTACAAGTTTAACCTGCCATACCCTGCCCCCTTTAGCAGCTTCACCTCTTTTTGAATCCTGCCATACCTGCCTTGCTCCTCCCATTTTAGTTTTTCTGTTGCAATTTGCCAAGCACATGGGTAGAATGCTGTGTCCTTAGATCTATGAGTACTAGTTTAGGTGATGACTAACTAAGAATTTTGAGCCAGTTTACTCATTAAAATTTTTGTTAATATAAGAGGCTAAAGAGTCTGCGTACACACTACCCTCCCCAGACCCCACTAGTAGAATTATATTGGGTTGTTGTTGTTGTATAAGAGGCTAAAGAGATTCTTAGTTCTCTCAAAAGCTGCAGGGATTTGATCTGTCAAACATACATATTCCTTCTCTGATCTTCTTTTGTTCATTGCTGTGCAACACTTTGAACCAAACTATGTAATGGAGTAAAGCTCAAGTAGTTTTTTTTCCTTTTCTTTCTCAAAAAGGCCATGATATTGATATGCAGCTAAGCTAAAATACTAGGATGTGAAGCTATCTTTGGTAGCTGCTTGTGATGCAACAATGTCTCTTGGATTTACTAAATTCTTCTCATGGGTTTCATTTAATTTCTTTGGCAGACAAGAGCAACTCAGTAAGTTTGGTCTTGATGGATCTGCCTATGCAACTGAAGACAAGGTGTCCTCATTTATTCAAAATTTAATCATAATTTGTAGTCTGTTATTTTTTCAATTACCAGGAATCCAGTGCCTCTGCGTAGTCGTTTATAGCTTTGAATGTGTTATATTATTTTCGGCCACATACTTGTGTGTTCTTTTACCATTAGGGTACAGTTCTTTTTGCCCGAATGAATTTCTTTTGCTCTGTGGCAGGCCGTCGATGATCGCACAGTTGGCCATAATCCAGAGAGGTTAAGTTTGCTGAAAGGTGGCATAGTATACAGCAATGCTGTAGTGTAAGTTAGCTAAAACTAGCGCAGCTACCTAATTTGCCTACAAGGTTTACTCACTCTTGGTGTGAATATCATTTTCTCCACTTGCATTGGTCACAGTTTAATCAGTCAATTCCCTTTTCATTTCTCCCTAATAAGAACTTTAACCTCGCTATTCATGTTCTTGGTTCTCCCGCTTTACTTCTTGGTGCCTCTAATAAGGAGAAGTCACGAAAAAAAGTTACATCTACTAAGATAATATATTGTTTGTAGTGAAATCATAGCATTTGTAAAGCTTTTTGAACATGCATGGACTATCTTCATTCTTTATGTCATCAGAAACAGAAACCATCTTCTTTCTTTAATCTCTCTTCTTAATTTCAGTACAGTTTCACCGACGTATCTGAAGGAGACACTCTGTTCCGGATGGCTTTCTAGTGCTTTGATGCGAAACCGTGATAAGTAATGTCTTCAACACTTGCCTTTAATAATATTTCCTTGTTAAATTAAGTTCTGTTTCACTAATCATGCTTCAGCCTCTCTTTCTGAACCTCTCTCGAAATTAGCATGCGACATATTAAATATCATGTCACTACCAAATTTTATGTTTAAGTTGCTTTTTATGTATCTGTTTTCCTAATAGAGCTGTTAAAAACGAGTTATGTGATCATTCAGGTATTCTGGCATTTTAAATGGGATCGATACTGAAATGTGGAATCCAGCAACGGATGTTTATTTGCCTGCTAAGTTTGATGGTAATTATTTCTGTGATGTTTTAGAATTACTTGGATACGACTTGCTTTGAGCTACCATTACATATGTTTTTCCCATACGAGGGATGCTAATGTTGGTATGGATTCGAACAGCTTAATGTTATTAAACCCAAGGAAATATTAAAACGGTCACCTCATCCATGTTGGACATGAGGAAGCACGATGAGGTTTACGGGGTTCATGCAGAGGAGTTTACCAGAAAATTGTCACAATTTTGGTCATCCATCAACAGCTCCGTGGACAACGGAATAAAGTGACTTCTAATTATTTCCTGATACTCATATCTCCAATGTATCTTAATAAAGGCAAACGCAGGAAAGGGCATTGATGCAAAATCTATGACTCTAGACACATTAAGAGGAGATGTGATTTTTGGTCTCGAGTTGTTATCTAGGTTTTGGGGTAATGCATAGGGAAAGTAGTAATTGTTTAAAGACAAAGATCATTGCAACCATAGGAATTTTCATTCTCTTAATGAAAGAAAGGATGCTAATAAACATGTCAGTTGTTTTAAAATATTTGCATTTTATTGGCGCTGTTTGATATCAGTATCAACCTACGGATTGACTGTAATGATTTCTCAACTATATCTACCTATTAAGGGGGGATAATGAACTGATATTATTGCCTTGCTCCACAAGATGCTGTGTTTGTTTTCTTGTTGTCTTCTTCACTAGTTTATATTCTTGAAACTGTGAGACACTAGGAGTTTGCACTTAATAGACATTGCCATTCAATCAGGTAACAGGACAGAGCTATCAATTAGTTTTCATTCTTTAGTTGTTTCATGGGCGTGATGGAACTGTGCATATTGTGATTTCTAATTCATATAAAATGAAGTGTAGACTGTAGAGCACAAAACCCAGAAATGGGATGAGAAAAGTTGGACAATCTTTACATAATCCGACAAATGCAGGACAATCTTTAATAAAAAAATTTTGGCATGTGAACAAGAAGCAACCCTAAGCAAGTCTTTTGGGAATTTCAGACGCTCTTTGATCGTAGCTCAGGGGCTTGTTTTTAAGTTCTATACTCTGGTTAGACCAGCTTGCTGCTTTCTTGAACCGATTTGCATGGTCACAGGAAATTACCAAATTATGTTTTTCCTGAAGCCTCATGCTCCACTGCCGTATATCATTCATGATAGTTGTGTCATAGCTAGTACCAGTCATTGGTCATTGAATCTAAATTGAGTTTATCAAAGTGCGGCGTGATTTGAACTCGACGGTGGAAGAGAAACGTATGCACCTAGAAGTTCATTCCAGTATTTCTACTGAGTCTCCCAGAGATGAGCCCCATCTGGAGAATGTGGCTTTCTCATGGTTAATTTCTCTTGCGAACTACTAGATTTGGACCTTTTTCCTTTGGAAAATACATTTTTGATTTGTTATGTAACAAGTAAGGATATTTTCTTCAACTCTTCTTATTTCACTTTTGTGTTTTGCAAGCCAGCAAAATTGAAGGGAAGAGGATATGCAAACAATTTGTTCAAAGGGGACTTGGTCTGCCTTTTGAAAGCATCAAACAGAGTACTTGTGTGGCTGATCAAGTACCTTTGGTTATCTGCATTACTCGATTGGTCGCTCAAAAGGGTCTCCATCTTATCACTCATGCGATCAAGCATGTTGAAGAACTAGTAAGTGTTTATCCCCATCTCGTTCTTTTTGGCAAACGTTCACCTAGACTCAGGAAAACAGCCATCCAATCAGTCAAATGTACACATAAACAGCACATAGGATGCATTTTCTCTATGAAAGATTCAATTGGATGATCATTTATCATTTTATGAGCAAAAGAGAGTCATCAAGATGATGTGACCTTTACTTCTCCATCACAAGCACAAAATTTGTTAAACTACTCTCTGCACTTCCCAACACAATCCTGTGTCTAAACCATGACAAGTGTGTAGAATCCCGATTCGTCTACCGCGTTACAAATTTTGATACATATAACGCCCACCAGTTCCGCACTCTAAGGATATAGGGTCACCTGAGCAAGAGTCAAGAGGAGTCAGAGAATGCATACTGGCTGTATGGTGCAAACAATACTCAAGTCTACAGAGACAAGCATGCGTCTAGTAATGCTCTATTATTGTTGCTTTCACCGTGTCAAGTATACTAACATATGTTTTTCGAACTCGCCTTAAAATCTTGGCCAGCTAACGTTTTATTGCATGCTAAAAAGTTTTATTGCCTTGCCCATTTGAAGCATTTTTTATTGGAAAAGAAGAGCAAGATAAGCCTCCTGTTACTGTTCAAGTTATTACTAAATACAGCTACCGCAACACGCAACTTCCAGGTCGTGTTTGTTTTCTCATGTGAAAAAGAAGATTGTCACCTCTTATTATTTCTTCTCGTATGATCTCCTAACGGCAGTTGCAAGTTTGCAACTATCCGTAGGATTTTCTGGCCAGCTGATAGGGTATTAATTTGGCGTTGTAATTGAAGTCTGCTGCTGGCATCTTTTTCAGGGTGGACAGTTGGTGATTTTGGGCAGGGCTTCAGATGGTCGAGTTGAGAGAGAATTTGAAGGTTTAGCAGAATTGGTAACTCAAATTTCTAGACTTGAAAATTGAAATATTCTTCTGGCTGGCTTGCTGTGGACTATTATATACTGTTCTTTTCATCATCATGAGATAGAAAATGGAAGCATCACCACTGATAAGACAGTTCATTATCACCATTTTAGTTTTTCCTTCTCTTTATTGCCATTCTTTTATGATTTTAGAACGGAATCATTTAATAATTTAGATGTCAGGGTCCATACCAAAGGGCTGCATTTGACCTGAAAGAAATGCCAATTGATAAACCAAAGAGAAAAAGGAACAGAAAAAGAAGAGTAGTGATAGAATTACTCAACTGCACTAATTGCTTATTAATGCATGTTCCCAAGTTCTCCTCTGGAGTAAGCTAGGCGTAATAAGCAGTTAGTGATTTCATATGTTAGCAAATGTAGTTCCATCCTGCTTATAATTTCCACCAGTACGTATTTTTCACATTTGAGAGAACAAAGTGTTTTATTTTGAAGGAGTCCAATAGATCTGGTTGTGTTTTTAAACCTTTCTGAATGACCATGCAATGGTGATATCAATTACTTTCTTTGTAGTATAACAAGGGCCCCAACATCCGTATCCTTTTGATGTACAGGTAACTATTTTTGAAAGCCAATTGATTATTTAATATTCCTAACCTTCAAGAAATATTACTGGTAATGTTTATGTATCTTGGTAAAGATTTATTCTTTATCTGGTTAAACGAACCTCAAATTATATGAACCACTTGTATACTCTGGATGCATGAGGGAATGTTTAACACGAGTGATCAATTTTCTTTCAAATGGCGTCAATCATGAAGCGAGGAGCTGTCCCATATGCTCTATGCCGCTGCAGACATGGTCTTAGTGCCATCAATGTATGAGCCATGCGGGCTAGCACAGATGATTGGAATGCGCTATGGAGCTGTAAGTACTCCTACTTTCTAAGAATAATTTGTTTTTCACATTTTATGTGGTTAAAGCTGGGGAAAATATCTCTTTTTTTTTTCTGCTTCTGAGTTGACATATTTATATGGTAGACAGAACTTGTCAAAAAGGTTTTATTTAGGGCTGTGTGTGTTTCTAGTAAGGATAGAATGGTGGTTTATCCAATTATTGCTTCCAGAAACATAAAGCATTCCATCTTAAGAAAGAAACAACAAGAAGTAATTTTTGCATCTGTTTCAGGTTCCCATAGTTAGGAAGACGGGTGGTCTTGCTGACACGGTTTTTGACTTGGATGATCAATCTCAAGCTGAGATTGCTAACGGGTAACTGATCAAATTCTTGAAATCCCGTTTATTTTCGTACTAAAAATTGATGCTAGTCGTGCCATTGGCTTTCGATGATGAATTGGGTTCTGAACTTTAACTCTTTTCTCTTTCTCTCTGTGTGTGTGTGTATTCTATAACGAGGATGAGAATAAATAGAGGAACTAACCAACAAATGTGGTATTTGATGTTGATCATCAGTCATCTCAATGAAAAACAACTCATGCAGCTGCTTTCTGAGTTTGCATAGATTTTCTTATTCAAGAAAATATTCTCATCGATGATACAGGCAGTATTGCTAGATTTCAGAGCTAAAGGGGTTTTAAAGAAATTTATGGTGAACCCACTGTTTTCAGCTTAAGTAAATTCAAGATAAAGCAACTGTGCAAGAATTTAAGGATGGATGTTGTAGTAAGAGCCATATTGTTTGTGTTGGTTTTGTTTTTTTTCCCCCTTAAAAAAAACTAGTTAGGTGATGGATCCTTTTTCTGTTTTCCTGTTTGTCCTTTTCCATGAGTAAGTTTTACTGGCATTCCAACTGTGATTCTGAAATGCTCAGCATATTATCCATGTAGGTTCGTCTTTGAAGGAATTGATGAAGGATCCTTTAATCGGGCTTTAGACCGTGCATTTTCTTACTATCGAGAAAGTAAGTCACTTTATCCTTGAATATCCATGCCTGCTGATTTCCTTCAACGAATGCCGCTTGATTGTAGAGTAGTCCCTCATTCACCTCACAAAATAAAATGAGATTTTGATAGAGAGGATCCGTAGAACTGACTCCAACTACTTTGAGATAAAGATTTACTAATTGTTTGATTGATATGATATTCTCAATTATAATGCAGAACCAAATGAATGGAAAGCTGTTGTTCAGAAAGTTATGCATATTGACAATAGCTGGAATAATACAGCAGGGAAATACATAGATATCTACAATTCCATAAAAGTGAGGTGAAATAATTTCTCAAGGCACAAATCATTTTGCCATGATCAAGAAACAGGACCAGTTTATCTTTAGTGTATATTTTTCCTTTTGTAATATATTACAGATGCTGTAGTTTCCTCTGCCACCAGTAGATCCCACTTGTAATAAAGGAACAATTAACAAATTTCTCCTACAGTATGTAAATGCCTCCCCCTTAATTTCAAATCTCTAATATGGATCAGAAGTGTTTGTCCATGATGATGTCCGAGCAATAGAGTTGCTGGACGCAAGCTCTTGCAGAAATGCAGGGTAAGGCTGCATACAATAGACCGACCTTTGTGGTCTGACCCTTCCTTGGACCCAGCGCATGGCGGAAGTTTAGTACACCGGGTTGCCCTTATTTTTTTGATGTCCAAGCAATAGAGTTGTATAATCATGTTTAAAACTCAACTGACCAAATTTTTTGATTCAAATCATGTTAAAGCTTTTTATGTTTTTATTATTGCAACTTTAGGTAATAATCATGTTGATGTAGTAAGTAGTTGACGTACTCTCGGGTATAACTAGTTCAACAACAATAACAAATCCAGTGTAATCCCACAAAATGGGGACTTGGAGAGGATAGTGTGTGTGCAGACCTTATCCTTTTCCGATCTCTTGCGTGTAGCTAGTTCGGTCCAGTTAATTTGTTTGCTAATTTTGATAAGGACAGATTGTGAAGTTGGACATATATTGAAATGAGTTTGGTGATTGCTAGTTTCAAAGCGCAGTTTCCAACTTGATAAAGTTCATAATTAATGCTCGAGAGTGGTGTTTACTTCTCAAATTGAAGGGAGTTAAGGATCTCGTTAAAGTTAAGGTTGAGAAAAAATTGGATCAAACTCGATCACTTCTTTATTTACATGTGAAGTTGACTTTAATTTTAGCCAATGGAGACCATTACATATATTTTTGATTTCTTATCCTATTCATAGTGATTGACTAATCAAGAACAATTTAGGTTAATTTGTCAAATATTTAAAATCTATTAACATGATCTCAATCATGACAAGTCTCTAAACTTTTAAAATTTAACAAATTTAGAAATGCGTACGAAAATTAAATTCAGAACTCATTTATTACCAACAACCGAAGTGGCTATTCTAGTATTTAGAACTCCTAAAGTTCAAATTCTGGCTCTGCCTCTGCAATTAACCTACCAGGGATAACCAAGTCGTAATGTGCCATTACCTTGTGTGACCACACAAAGATAAGTTTGAAATTTATTATAAGCTCATAGCCAAATACTTTGGCTAGATGAAATGTTGCTTGCACTTGATCTATGGTTTATTTGACAATTGTAAGCCTCTCTTTACATGGTTGTGCATGCTAGGCACTCCGACGTGAATAACTGAAAGGACAATTACATCTGAAAGAATGTTTGTATATCAAGTTTAGATTATGTAAAGAGTTTCCAGATGACGCGATAAGTAGATATAAAGAGGTTTTCAAACCTCTAACAAATTTTTTTTGTTCAGAATCTGATTATTGTTAACAAACAAATGACGGGGTAACAAATATTCCCACAATTCTGATCCAAGATATTCAAGGAATGATGCCACTTTGATGACAAGCTATTCACATTATGAAAAATACAAAATGTGCTTTTACACTTTACTCCAATATCTGGATATGGAGCCTCTATATGGAAAAGTGGAAAGAAAGGAAAAAAGTATTTGAAATATAGAATAATCATGGGACTGATGGTATGTTCTACCTGTCGATGCTGCTGCAACCAAAACCAGAGATGGGGAAAGTCTCTCTAATGCCTCGTCATTTCCCGGAAAATATTGGACACGCTAGGTGATAATCTCGGCAAGAACTTAAACATCTGGAAAGCAAAAACAAAATCTTCCGTTAGAGAAATAGTAATATGGGTTGCATTGCTTCCAATACCATCGATAAAGTCGGGATTTGAAGTTTATGGGTTCTGGACTTGCCATCGAACTCATAGCTCGTCTTAGTAACTGGGTTCGTATTTAAACGTTATACATATTTAATGACTTTTCTAAAATAAAAATACAGGGTCCAAGCAAAAGCTATTGGGTTCGTTTGAACCCGTAGTGTATACGCTAGCTCCGTCCCTGTTTACAGCATATAAAGCTTGGACGCTCTCTAGTAAATTAAAGAGAAAATATGCATTGGCGAGTAACATTGACTTTACTCAACTAAATAGGCTTATTTTAACCAATAAGACAATCCATGAAGGTCAGGGAGGACTTTACAGGTATATACTTTGTTCACTTTCCAGATTAAAATAAAAAAAGAGTCCAAGTTATTGAAAAAGTAAGCACATACCCAAAGCTTCACACAGGCATCAATTATAACTGGAACCAGGCAGACAAATAAGGTTATCATTGCTGGATCAACTTCAATGCCATAATGCTCCACAAGGACCTCGAGCAAAGTCTGCCAACCAGATTCAGAATGATACCTGAAACACATTCACCACATTATCCAACATGACGGAGCTCTGGAAAGTTGGCTTCTATTTACTTTTAACAAGTGGGAAATGTTGACAATTTCCAAAGAAAAAATAGAAGCCCAAACAATAGAAATGCATAGGAATAAAAGGGAGTGAAACTAGATTGGTACCACTAAACTTTTAAGGGATAAGAGTAATAATTTTACATCTAGTCCTTGCATATCGCTTTAGTTGGAAGTACAACAGAAACTTTAATTTCCATCCTTGAGGAAATCCCAAAAAAGGTGTTAGGTTGCTTAAACCCTTTGCTTCTGAGAATTGGAAAGTAATGAACTGAAGTTGCCCTTTTTTTTTAAAATGAGATGAAGTTGCTGCTATTTTATAAATTAGCTAACATGGATAGGTGCTATATTTACGGATAAGTTCCTTTAGAACATTCAGTATGGTCATAAGCATGAAATAGAATCAAACTTTACCCCAAAAAGATATCAGTAACCAGAATAATCAGAAACGCCTTGCCGGTATCCGAGACATTGTTTAATATCTTGTAACCAGTAAATTTGAGTAGCTTCACCTGCAGATATTGACAAAAAAGTTTTAAACTTAGAAACACTACAAAAATTGAGGAAGTACACTTTAGAAACCCTATTTGTGAAAGAAAAATAACGACTGAGGCCCCATTTGTTTTTTTTATTAATTAAGATGTTTAAATCTGAATACATGTCTATTGTCTTTAAATGAAGAATTAAGACTTTGTTTTCTCGGCATTTCAAATTGTATAATTTATCTTTATTTAAAAACTAATAAATATGAACTCAAATAAAATGAAATTACATATTATATCCACATAATATAAGAGAAAATCTAAATTACCCCATGTTGTAAAAACTATTTGTTTGATGAAGTACACTCTAAAAGCTAGCGGTGTGGCAGTTGTTGGTGCTGGTGGCTGGTAGTGATAGTTGTGAGGTAGTGGCTGGTGGTAGTTGTTGGTGGAGTTGATGCCAGTGGTGGTTGTGCAGTGTTGCTAGTGGTGGTTGCTGGTGGTGGAGGTGGTTGCTGGTAGTTGTATGATGAAGGCTGGTGGTGAAGGTGGTTGGTGGTGGTGGTTGGCAATGGTGGTTGTGCAGTGGAAGTTGAAGGAGGAGGTGGTATGACTGGGAGTAGAGGTGGTTGGTGGTGGTGGATGAGTGATAAAGGCCGGTGACATCTCTTATGTGGTGGTAGTGGATAGAGTAGTAGTAAAAAGTTACAGGTTACAAAATGCAATGGACAATCGAGATTAAAGAGCGATATGAGGGGAAAATGGCGTATAAAAGATTTCCTTTATTTATCTTAATAACACCAAGTCCAAGCAAGTTGATCATTTCATGTTAACGGCTTTCGCCCAATAACATAGACGATACAAGTATATTGGCAAAGAGGTAAATTTTGTTGAAAGACAGATATTATTCAAACATTTGGAAGAGAACTTACTTTACTCTCATTGAAGTACAAAAGAATGAATAATGAGACCCCAAAGACAAAGTCCGACCATATATTAGCAAATGCCTTTCGATTTTCTAACCTCCACTCGTCCCGCAACTCTAACCTGCAAATGCAATGGCCCAGAGGCTAACAGTATCAGAAATCAAATAAAAGCCATATCAGCATCTTAAGTGAGACATGTTATAAGATGATTTCAGGGAAGGATAATATAACAGCCCTCTCAAGCCAATAGATTGAGTTATTGCATGTATTTAGATGAATCATACAAGCTGTAATTTCTTGTGTACAGTATATATTGTAAACATACGAAGTCAAATCTAAAATACAAATGTAGTCTATTAATACATTTATCAGCTCAAAGAAGAGAACACACAAAGTGGTAGCTGTCTTCAGAAGGCCCTTTGTTTTCTTTTTTACACTAGGAATTTGGTTGTTCAAGGCAAGATTATCCAATGTGTGTGCAAAAACTCTCCTTCAAAAATCAGTTGTTGCCTTCATACCAAGTCTTTTAACATCAGGTGGATAAGTAGGTCAAAGAAAGGGATGAGCTAAATTTTTTGGAACACTTCAGATTAACATAATTAGAACAGGCATCAGCTATGGTAAAACTTACGCTTTGTGTCGTAGCTCCAGATACAGCTCTTTTTCAGACAAAGGTGGAGATTTACCAATCTCAACCTCAAAGCGGTAGCGCGCTTGCTCAGTCTTCAGTTCCTTAACCATTTCAAGCTTTTGGTTTCTTCTGACATCAAGCATCTGTGCTGCTAAAGGTACAGTCTTAACATATCTGACCATGACAAATAAGACAGTCAACACAAAGCTTAAATGGGAGTTACGTTCATACTAGCAACCATCAGTAGGAAAAGTACCTTCTCAAGTAATATCTAGCTGAATAGGAAATAAGCAAGCAAGAAGTATAATATTTCCATAGAACTGTATTGTTGTATTATCTATACTCATCCAAAAAGTAAAATGTTCTCTAAGATTTAGAAGTCGGCCAAGGTAGTGCAGGGATGTATCTTCACAATCCCAAGAAATACGCTTGAACAGCTATGTTACCAGTCTACTGTCTATAAAGAATTTGTCGCACTAACAAGTAAGAGAAAACTTCTTGAAGTAGTTCTTGATTACGAAAATGACTTTTGAGTAGGCTTAGAACCATTAGAGCAAGTAATAAATGAAGTCAAGCAAACCTACTTTTTTGGGATAAAGATGAAGTCAGCAAAGCTTACGACAAAAGCTCATAAAAGAGCATCAGTTTTCTAACAAACGA